CTAAAATTTTATAAATATTTTTTTCAGATTCTATGGGAAAAATGCTATAAAGTTACAATGGTTTCAGATTTTTTTATTGGCACGACGACGACGACGAGAATTAAGAAACTGGTAGTAGAAGCAAAAATTCGAATTTTATGACAGCCATAGGAGCTCATGATGTGGGTCAAAAAATCCGAAAAAATTCGACAAATGTTTTCTAAAATAGTACTACCGATTGCCATAGGTTTCGATCAAATCTAATTTTTAAGCGTACCCCTTTCACATGGAATGACCCATATATATATATGTGTATATATATATATATATATATATATTTATTTATTTATTTATTTATATATTTATATATTTATATATTTGGATATATTTGAATGGAAACATTAAAAAATACTGGTATTCGAATAATTCTATATAGGAGGTTGAAATTCTTTCTCTCTCTTAAAACAAAAATTCTAAATTTTCAAGGTATTATGAACATATTTGTAAATTGACGATTACAATATAATACTATATTATATATATATATTACATGTATATGTAAATGTATTTCTTATATATTATATGTATATATTATATGTATATTTATATGTATATGTATATGTATTTTGTCGATTTTTTATGAAGTATAATTTATTGTACATAAATTATCTATAACATCTTACCCATCTGATATATTATCCTTAATAACTTACCCATCTAATTTACCGTATAATCATCGTCTAAGATAAAATAAGTAAATTATAGTTTAAAGAAATGTTTGTCGTATAACACAGGTCCCTCGGACTGTTCTTCCCCGGGCCCCTATAAATAACATGTGATCAGTATGAAAAAATCTTATTACATCGTATTACAGACAAGAACTATTATAACGAATAACAAATAAAATATTTACAATAAGCTACAGGTCTGATTAAATCGGTCGGATCAAAGCCCAAGCACCACCCACTGGCGCATTTAGGAAAGGTGTACATCTTAACTTCAAGGGCATCTGCATCTTTGGAGATAGTTCCAAGCTATACTTTCTCAATAACACAGCGAGACACGCTTTTATCTGCAACAAAGCCATTCTCATTCCTACGCACATTCGCGGGCCTTCACCGAAGGGAAGAAAGGCGAATCTCTCAATGCTGTGTTTCTTATCCAAATTGAATCTCTCAGGGTCAAACACGAGCGGATTCTCCCAATAGCAAGGATCTTCTTGTAAACCGTGGACAGGGATTAAAATGCTTGTTCCAGATTCCACCGAGCAAACGACTCCGTCGGATCCTTTCAGCTCGATCTCGTCCGTGCAAATTCTGCTCATGAATCCAATTGCAGGTATGATTCTCTGAGACTCGCTTATTACTTGATCCATGTAAGTCATTTCCCTCAAGGCTTCGTATGTAAGTATACCGTTGTGTTTGGTCAGCACAGTCATTACTTCTTTGCGTAATTTCTTCTGCACTTCTGGGTTAAGGGCTAATTGGAAGCCAACAAAGCTCAAAGTGATGCTGGATGTTTCGTAGCCGTCGAGGAAGAACGACATTGTGTGAGATACCAGGACTTCCAGATCGAGTTTATTACCTTCTGCACGGTCCAATTCAACCATCAATTGGAGAAAGTCGTTTCTTTGTGTCCCGCTGGTCCTCCTTTGCTCCATAATATCGGTGACCAAAGTTCTAAAGAAACGATCGATTTTCTTTGGTAAAAATCTCACTCTGAAAACTTTGCCGAACCCAGGTATTAGAAACGCGATGGTCAAAATAATATTGTTCACAATAGACAGGTCGAGGAAGGACTTGCCCATCTCGTAGAAAGATTCTTGCTGTTTTTTGTCGTCGAAGCAGAATCCATTCACGCCGAAACCAGCGTTCGCAACCACTTGAGCGGTGTACTTGGCGAACAGTTCTTTTAGTTCCATCTCTACCTCTCCCGTCTTCTCCAACTTTTTATCTAAAAAGTTCTCAAATTCCCCGCATACTTGCTTAACGCTCTCGAGTAGGATCTTCAACCGCATGCTGGAGAAGGCATAGGTCAGACGTTTCCTTCCGGTTACCCATTTCTCTCCGTATGTGAAGAAGGGATTGTTTGCCAAAAGAGGATCCAAATCAGGATCAATTTTGACTCCATTCTCGTGAAAATTCGTAAAGCTCGTTTGCAGCACCGTTTTCACCAGTTCCGGTTCGCGTATCATCAATGTGGGTGTCATGAAATTGTAGAAGCCGACCATGCTGCAATCCTTATTGTCATGGTAGATTTTGCGACAAATATCAGAGAAGCTAATTTTTCCAATGAGCAACTCCCACATATGACCAATTCCCAGCAAAGCACCATTTGCGCAAGGAATTCCACGTTTTTGCCAATATTTGGCGTTCTTTTTTAAGTAGAGATAGAGAATTATCACTGTTCCGAGAATTAAAGACACGAACGTGGTAAACATCTCCGTCCCCTTTCAATAGACGGTCGGCACTGAGCGTCCTACATCGTGACTCTTGCCATTGCGGCACTGAGCATCCGACGTCGAGTGACTCTTGCCACTGTGATTACTCTATCTCTCACAAATATCTACATTATAAAAGGATGTTGGTATTAGTTAATGCACAATAATCTGCACGACGTC